TCTGCAAGTAATGGGGACAAAGTCTCACTCTCTATCTGTCACATTGTGATTATAATTCAATTTGCATCCTCTCACCGTGGCGTCTGATCGGTGTTGGGGGCCTTCAGGGATGAGGTGTTATCCTTTTTTTTTCTTTCTATTCTAAACTTTTAAGTCACCCAAAACCACCAAAGACAATACTCTAGATCAGGAAACAATTGCTTCATGCCTTCACATGTGGACAATGGATGAACTAAAATTGTCATTTTCATAGTAGATTCTATGGTACCCAAAAGGTACCATACCTTTGTCAACATAGACCATTCAGAATATTGCAGTTGAATTATTTAAGTATAAATTAAAATTGATATACCTACTTGAACCAATCAAAACAATGATAGGTACGGTATCCCATTTTTTAAATGAGTACCCGAGTTCTCACATTTCAATGTTTCCGGTTCATAACTTTAAGACATTGGATGTTTTAAGCCTAGTAAAGTTGACGTACGTGGCCTATTATCATTGGCCGGAATATGAAACGAAAATGGTCTGACCTGGTAAATTCGTACAGCACATGCCTGAGTTATGACACAGCTCCGGACGAAACCCGCCCGACCCAGAGCTTTCATCCTTTCTTTTTGGATTGAATGAATGAAAGAACAAAAATTTACTCCCTCGTAATTGTAATTATTTCAGAATTTATACTCCGATTTTCTTACTTTTTTCTCCTGGATCTGAAGTTTTTGGATCAATTCCTCTCTTCTCTCTTCTCACTCTACTAATTTCAATCTCTCTCTATCCCAATTCCCAAGCAGCCGAAACCACTGTTGCTGATAATATTCGCCGGAAAATCAAGAATTTCTGTGACAAGTTTAACGGCAACAGAAACAGTATTACAGTAACAATGGCTTGTCAAGATTTAAGCTGAATCTCACTTAAGCTTCAGACCCATTTCCGCCTCTTCCGACTGTATGCAGCCTAGCTGACCTCAAGCTCCGGCGAGTTTTTCCGGTGATTTGCAACTCCGTTCCGATTTCTAGCTGTTTCGGATGTTCGGATTGCTATAAGCTAGCAATCCTCGTTGTTAGGTTAAAAAGACTGATTGACTGGTAGATGCGAAGAAAAAAAGGCTAGCTAGAATTAGAACCCTAGTCTGAAATTTCTACTAATAGTATACGCCTATGATTCTACCTCCTTGAAGTTCATAAATAGAAAAGGCTAGAGGACTACTTCTCCGCATGCCGACCGACGCCGACAACTCCTTCGCCATGAACGACTCCCCCGGTTCCGGCGAAGCCAGCGTTTCTTCCTGTGACAACCAATCACTTCCCCCAAAAGCTGCAGCCAAGAAAAAACGGAATCTTCCCGGAATGCCAGGTAATATTGAAGTGCCCAACATCCAAAATTTATCCATAATAGGGTTAGATAATCCATCTTTATTGCACATATGTTAAGATCCTATCTCGGAAATTTCTGAAATGGGTAATACGGAGTAGGTTGGATTCAATCTTTGAATGGGATTTGTTCCAAATGACTTAATGACAAGTTAGTTGAGTGATCCAACCAAATCCTTAACTCAATCCATAGAAACTGTTCAAGCTCTAATGTTTTTTGGGAAATTTTGAATGTTTTAGATCCAGATGCAGAGGTCATTGCTTTATCACCAAAGACGCTTTTAGCTACAAATAGATTTGTGTGTGAAATATGCAATAAAGGGTTTCAGAGAGACCAGAATTTGCAACTACACAGAAGGGGACACAATCTGCCATGGAAGCTTAGGCAAAGGTCAAGCGTGGAAGTGAAGAAAAGAGTGTATGTATGCCCTGAACCTACTTGTGTTCATCACGACCCGTCAAGAGCCCTTGGCGATCTCACCGGAATCAAGAAGCATTTCTGTCGGAAACATGGTGAGAAGAAGTGGAAATGTGAGAGGTGTTCCAAGAAGTATGCGGTTCAGTCTGATTTGAAGGCTCATTCCAAAATCTGTGGCACCAAAGAGTATAGGTGTGATTGTGGCACTTTTTTCTCTAGGTAAATAAATCCTTCATTCTCCTTTTCATAATTACAAATTTACAATTGGTTTTACTCACGGGGCGTTTCAGGGAAGAATAGGATTGGGAGTGAGAGTTGCTAACGAGGAATTCATTAAGATATTGTGTTCCCTCGTTGGTTGGTATTTGAATAGATTAGGACTAAACAATAAATTTACTAAATCTTCCTCACTCCAATAATCTTCCCCTTATGTTCGAATAAGGGAACTGGTTGATCATAGTAAATTTTATTAAAGTAGTAATACCCTCTTTCCTAAATGAATTTATTCTTTCCTTTTTTCTGCCTGTTCCAAAATTAAACACAATGCCACGTTAAAGCAGAGTTGCATAGTGGGTGGTGGGAGTATTATTCTCTTGTTTGGTGGATATTTTGAATGTATTTGGATTAAATATGGAGTAAACTTATTAAACCACTCTTACTTATAATAGTCCACTATTTATGGCATTTGTCATATTCTATCTCCTCCCAATTGCGTCTCTAGATTTGATAGCTTAATTAGAACCCGGGTGGGTAATGGTTGTTTGGCTGGAAGTGTTTGGTAACATCTTTTTCTTCTTAAGAAAGTTAAGTCTTAAGCTACTGATTCTGAGTATTCTGCTTATAAGCCGAATAAAGCCTAAAAAAATTATTGGCTTGGGTGTAGGCGGGATAGCTTTATTACACACAGGGCATTCTGTGAAGTATTAGCAGAGGAGAGTGCGAAAGCACATGAAGGCATTGTGGCTCCAATTTCTGAGGACCCAAAGCCTGCTTCACCATCACAACCGTCGCCTTCACCACCATTGCCGCCACAGCTGAGTCAGTCACCATCACCACCACAACCATCAGTAGCCCAACAACCTACAGCACCATCTGATCCCCCAGCTACCACTACAGTCACATCTGTAAAACTTCCAGGTAATTTTTTAATTAAATGTTTGTAGTTTTGCTGTCTTAGTATTTGGAATTTCCTGTATTCTCACTAGGTAAAAAGTAAAACAAAAAACGTGTTATTTTTTCTCCTTTGTTTGGTTGTTGTCTTGTGGGTCCTGGACTTTACTCTTTTTGCGTGTACCCAAGTATCTCTCTTTTTATTCACTTGTTAGAAAATCCATATGGAGGGGAATTTTTTTAGTGTTTGGAATAGGGTTTGATTATTGTTTGAATTAATTATTAGATCTATGTGGCCCTTTAGAGTTGGAAATTCAATAGCTTGAACTATTGGATAAAGTAATGGGTTAAATTACCCCATTTGGGTTGACTTATTCCAGGAAATTTGGTATGCTGCTCATTTCCTTATAAAAATTTAGCAATCAAGATGTTCCTTTGAATCCCCAGCAAAAGTCATAAATCCTCCATAAACCATGACTTTTTTTCCATATTCCAATGAGTTTCACCCATTCCAAACATGATTTTCTTCGTTTTTTGTAGATTGTTAGGTTTACTGCAGAAAAAATGGATAACCTATGTTTCCTTTTATAAGGCGATGATATTTAATGAGGAAATACAAGAAAATTTGATGCCCGTTTGATAATAGGCCTAATATGGCGAAAATGACTAAAACTGTGGGATAGTTCGATTATCTAGACAGTTGATTTAAAATATATTATATGAAAACATAAAAAATTAAGTTCTAGAAAAGGTAGAAATTTCAATTTAGCCAAAAAAAGTAACTCCTGCAGTTTTTTTATTCATTATAAGCCATATTTGATCAGACAGGCAGGCACCAGATCACTTTGCTTATTATATTTATCTATAATTATCACTACACATAATGCAGAGTTCCGGGAGTGTACAAACACAAATGAAACTGGATCAGTGGGCCCAAAACAAGTGGTAGAAGAAACTACAGTGATAACGAGCTGCTTAACCGGTAGCTGTGGCAGTAGTAGCAGCCCAAACAGTCAAGTAAGTGGCAGTTTGTTTGCCAGCTTATTTGCCTCCTCCAATGCTTCCAGAACTTTCCATTCTCAAGCATCTGGCGGCAGCCGTGGCTTTACAGACATGTTCACCACACCCATGGTATTACCTGAACAACCCCCTTCATCCTCCGAACCAATATCTCTCTGCCTTGCAATGAGTCATAGTCTCGGTCAAGACCGGAGACAGTATGGCCAACCAACCCAACCGGCTATGTCTGCTACAGCACTATTGCAAAAGGCCGCCCAGATGGGTGCATCCCCATCAAACTCATCGCTGCTAATGGGCCTAGATATTCTGTCTTCTTCTAATGGGCAGCATGAGTTTAGAGGGAGGGACGGTGGCTCGTCATTAGCTGTGGGCCTGGGACTTGGGCTTCCATGTGATGGCGGTTCCAGTCTAAAAGAACTTATGTTGGGCACCCCTTCTGTTTTTGGACCGAAGTATCCTACACTCGACCTGCTCGGATTAGGAATGGCGGTTGGTGGTGGCCCCACTTCCAGTATATCAGCACTTATGACATCTATTGGTGGAAATATGGACATGGCTGCAGGAAGGGGATCTTTTGGGGCTGGGGAATTTAACAGCAAGGACCCCTAGCGTTAAGGGGATGGTTATTTGTTCAAGATTTTGGGTGTGTATATTAGAGCTTGTCATTGGACATTACATGTCCTTGTGTCCCTAACGGAAGCCCATTAGGTCTGACCGTCTGATTACTCCATGGGCCGAGCACGTGACCATACGTGACTCGTTCTTAGACATGACCGTTGTTACGTTGTTTTATTCGTAACGCCCGGGCATTTATTCCAACAATTACTAGACATATTTATGTGTACAATTTAGTCTGAAACAAAGGGTCCATTCTTGAATATGGGGGCTCATGATATTACATTATACCATCACAAAAAATAAAACCTGTTTATGTCATTATCCATACTTTGTGGAGCTCTTGTTAGGAGTGTTTTATGTATCTAATTTGAATATTTTGTTCAGATTTGTTTTTGTATATTTTCATTGGACTAATCTATATTTTGTCAGGATGGAATGATATGAATATTTATCTTTTGGTATGATGAGTATTATATAAATGGTAGTAATAATAATTATAGTAGTACTGTAGTAGTAATAATAATATTACCAAGTTGTACTACACATCTAAGGTGTTGTACTGTTATTTGAAATGAGTGTTTCCCTTAATATTACTAAACTAGATCGCACGGGCAGTACATAATTTAGTTAATTTTGAATATGATTTTTTTGGAATCAAATATAATGTGATGCAAAAAAAAAATAAATTCAGTCTAAATATAGAGTTCGTTTGATGATACTAAAAGAGATGGAATAGGCTTATTTTATTGAAACTGATTAAAGCTGACTTAATGGGCTGAATAGACGGAATCTCCTGAATCATGAACAAAATTAAAATATATTCCATTTGTAAAATAAAGAAAAAATTATAAAAATATGACAGAAAAATATGAAGTATTAACACAATTGCAAATCTGTGGCTTAGAATTTTAATCATGATTTCAACATTGAGTTTAGAAGAGTAAAATATTACGGAGTATATTTTAGAAAATGGGACACTATTATTAATTTTTTTATATAAAATAATTTTGAAGACAAAATAAATAGCAAAACAAAGATATTTCATTCGTCAATAGAATGTAACAAAAGATAAACAGAATAAAAATAATCAAATAATTTTTACTCCATGCTTATAAAAGGTACTCCGTATAAATTGTAGTCTAAGTGTAGGTTGGTTATTAATTGTTGTGTTCCAATAATTATTAATTACGTAAAAGGTTTTTGAAAAAGTTACCAAATAAGGTTGATTTTTATCATACAATATTTTGTTTCCATATCAATATGCATTAAAAAATAGAATCTAATAGAATAAATAAAAATATATGATGGATGACATGGCAAGATTATGTGGCGCTTTGTATGCTTTTAAAAAGTTCCTCTTTTATATATATATTGATTGAAGCTAATTTCCAAAAATGTGACTACTTTTATATATTCACATAAATATGATCAAGATGGTTATATATTTGAAAAAAGAGATATTACCTGAAATAAGACTAAAAAGGTTTGAAAATTCCAAAATAGGAGTGCTATTTTTTTATTCCCAAAATAGGACTAATTACTGTCATGTTTTGGTAGTATCAGACTTCAAACATGGCAGTATTTTCCAAACTTGACATTAATTACTCCTATTTTGGGAATAAAAAACATGACAGTCCTGCTTTGGAATTTTTAAACTGTTTTAGTCCTATTTCGGGAACTTTCCCTTGGAAAAAATGATGTTACTGAATAAATTTTGTGTCACTTCAATTTGTTATGTCATTAATAATTATCGCCATCAGATTTTTATCTCTTACGAATATCACTTTCGTCGTGAAACATGTCACTGGGATTGTTGGAAAAGCACGCCAGTGACCCGTTGTTGCCCCACTTGCCCACACCACGATATCATCACTGCCACAACCCTCCCAACCATGATGCCTGTCCCACCTTTACTTTACCACCGGCCCCACCCCATCTCATCCCCTGGCCCACTAGCCTCTTCCCTGCCTTGGCTATTGCCGCCAACGCCGCCTCAGTCCCTCGGCCCCAGCCCCTTCTCTGCACCCCGCTTCTGCTCCAACGTCCCCACCCTGCCTCTAGCTTCGGATATAGTGTTTCGTCGTAGTTCGAGGTTCAATTTTGCCATTCGAAACTGTAGCAATTAGCGCTGATGATGCCAACCATTTCGGGATGGAGCCGGGATGTACTCGGTATTTTCTCCTCCTCCTCCTATTTGATACGGAGTATTTCCTACTTCATACTCCGTACAATATTATGGGTGAACAAATACACCAACAATAGAATGAGACAATGAAAATCAATTTGAACAAAACTAAAATTGCGTAAACCTAAAATCACATATGAGATTATGAATCGATTCAACTGACCAAAACCAAAAACCCTAGTTGAAACATGCTGGAACTGACACATTATTGAAATGATGTATACTTGAATTATTCGATTTGATTCCCGAGTAGTTTTTTATTTTCAAAGTCAAATCGATAATTTATCGACAACCCGTTTGGTAACACTGAAATCGGCTGGTTCTGCCTAAATTTATGAAGTTCTGGCTGAAGATGTCATATTGGCTGATTCTGCTCATTTATGAATAAATTGTATTTAAAATATATTTTATTAATAAGATAAAGAAAAAATATATGAAAAATAGCTAAAATGGTCAGCTTCAGTAACTTCAGCCAATACAACCAGAAAAGTAAATTTAACCTTACTTTTTCTTATTAGCACACAATTCAGCGCGTCAAATAAAAAATTATATGTTTTGTTAAAAAATTAATTGATATACTTGATAAGCTGAAAAACGGAGTCATCAAACAGGCTCCGAATGGATCACACCAAAATTGGTAAAATCGTACTCTCAACTTCGAATTGATCACACCAAAATGGGTAAAATCGTACTCTCAACTTCGAATTGATCACACCAAAATTGGTAAAATCGTACTCTCAACTTGTCAACTACTATCAAGTATCAGGTGTAAATACGAGATAGTGAGAGCACACAATTTCAATGTATATATAGTATATACGCTTCAATTATATTGGAGTCATAGCCTCATAGGGTACTCCGGAATAACTTCCATAAAAAAAAATACCCCGTTCCATTTTATCTATTTGAAAAATAAGTGTATGATTTTCTCTTTTGAAAAAAATATGTGACCTACAACATTTCACTTTACTATACTTAAGTCTTAACCACATTTTTTATTTTTTTAACTAGTTTCTTAATAATTCTACCAAGTCAAAGTGAGACACATAAAATGGGACATAGATAGTTACATTGAATGGGAGATAGATAGAAATAGGAGAATCACTCATGTTTTTAGTGATCATGATTATGTTCTATTTTACACTATCATGACCATATAACTCTATTCATATTACTTTTCATCACATTTTTATCAATGAGTTTAATGCTATAATGTTCTAGAAAAAACTCCTTAAAATTTCAATTTTGCATTTAAATAAACTATGCTATTTATTTGAAATAATAATATGCTCCGTACAATTTAATTTTAAGAGCATACAATAGGACAAAAGCACCAGAGATCTTAAATAAAAGAATCGGTGGTTTCATAAAAAAAAATTATTCAAGATCATCTATTTGTTCTGATGATAGTGTTTGATCAATGCATGTATTATTTTTAAAAATAATTGCATACATATTTAAAATAAATGTGATTTAAAATAGAAATAATTACATGAATATGACCAAAATAAAAATGATTTACAAAAATATGACTAGTTACTAAAGTAATAATGAAATCATAGTAATTCATGTTCAAGTTTTGAACTTAAATTACTACAACATCACGCTGTAGTAATGAACAGTCATATTTATGTAAATAAGTTTTGTTTTAGTAATATTCTTGTAAAAAAGCCTAGGTCAATGGAAAAATAGCAAAATAATTCGGTGGCATTTTTGTATTTAATGTGGAAATCGCGGTTTCTGCTAAATGCACATTAGTGTACTGTTAATGAACAATAGTCCAATTTTAATGAGTATTAAGTGTCTAATAATAAGCACCGTGTTATTACAAGAAAGCTGATATCACAACTAAAAAACGGTGGCATTTTCGTAATTTCAGTGAAAATCGCGGTTTTTGTTATTTGAAATTAATACACTTTTAACGAACATCAGATGTATTCTACTGAGCATTAAGAGTCAAATAATGAGTATTGTGATATCAACTTCACATATTGTAATTCACTTTCTTTTTCTTATTTTTTCTTTTATAAAATCTCATTAAAGTATATCTATAATCAATTCCTATGAATTTCAATATGTGAATCTAATGTAATATGGTACTTTTGAAATATGCATTGTTATGACATTTTAAAAACGAGCACACCAGTACCAAATGAGCATACGTATCATACAAATGAACATTGATATGAAAATCGTAAGTTTTGTTAGTTGAGCATCAAACCTCCTCTATTGAGTATTCAAATCACGCAATTGAGTATAATGATTTGTGCTCTCGTGTCTATAATCAAATCCTATGCGAGTCTAATATAATAGGATACTTTTAAAATATGCTTTAATATGACACTTTCAAATGAGCATTTATCATTAATAAATGAGCATACATAACTTATAAAATGAGTATAAAAAAATTTCTTTTTTTAACAGGCGGAAAGAATTTCTATAAATTTAAAAGGATTCAAATTAAGTAGATGAATTGGAAAGAAGTGTCTGTCATCGAAGTATTAGTCGGCGTCAATTGAGTTTACATTTATATAGTGTGCTCAAGTATACATTTTTGTTTGCTCATTCCTTTCAAGTTTTATACTCACTGAATTTAACATACGTAACAATATACTATTCAACACTTTGTACATTCCCTCATTGAATTAAGAATCAATCACACTATATAATTGTATATTTCTTTATTTTTGTATTGATATAACATTTTAAAATGAGTATAAATCAATACCAGATGAGCATACGTAACTTAGAAAATCTCACTTGAATTCAATTGTGCATGATCATTTTTTTAATCGTTATACTCATTCGAATATAAAATAAATTCATTTCTATAATATGTACATCTAGTAGATTCGTTATTAACAATTGTGTATGCACATTCATTTTAAATTACAATCATTTTAGTATAACACAAAACTCATGTTAGTAAGTAACACACAAATTTAATAAACTAATAAATATTTATCTTAAAATTAAAAATAGAAAAAACAAATAGTAATACCGAAAATATTTTATAATGCACAAATTTAAAAACTTCAGTTAGAAGATTGGTTGTAAAAAGAAAAAACAAAGTCAAACATTAAATGATATTTTATATTCCTCCGTCTCATTGGACTTTGCCAACTTTACTTTTTTACAAGTCCCAAAATACTTTGCCACTTTCCTATTAAAGCAACTAATTTGTGGTTCTACACATTTCTCTCTCCTCTACACAAATTTCAACCACACAGTTTTTACTATTCTTATTACTCACCTAACTTGCATTTGGCAAAGTCT